ACTCGATTTTGCTCTTCTTCCTCGTTTTGTTGCCGCGGCGACTTTAACTGTGGTTTTTTTGACTGTTTCAACAATCTTCGATCCCGTCCCAACTTTTGCTTGAATCCTAAAATTGCCAATTTACTTAAGAAATTGTTTTTCCAGACAATAACGGTGCGAAAGGGAGGGAAAAATCCCACCAGTAGATAAAAAATAGCAGTGACCAAGCCAGATATTTCCACCATATTTTTCACATTTTTTAATGGATCTATGTGGAGATCTTCCATCACTGAATTTTAAGAGAATTTTCACAATTAGCAGTGATCAAGTCACAGATTCCTATCATATTTATCACTTCTTTTAAACACAAAGTAGTTCATCGTAGTATAGGAATAGCAACATTGAAGACAACGTGGTGATGCTCAACATACATTAAAGACATTTCAAAAAGATTAAAGCCTTGCAAAGTTTTTTGTCAGGAAAAAAGTTGAGCCAGTAATTCTTTTACAAAGACAAAACGAATGCTAGGATCACCAGTGAGTTGACCACTAGCCCATCAGATAACGACAGCTTATAATAAATAGTCAAAGTAGTCAAAATATGATAACTAATCTAATGAATTACAGTAATAAATAGCGAAGAATGTAATAAAAAGAATGACAAGTAGCGGCCATTAAAGGCTATGGAAGAACACTCTCTTTAAAATTTCAGCCTTTCAGCTTTTCTGGTTGCCGAGTTAGCAATTTTCCCTTCAAAAATTTCACGTGCCCGTACATGAGAACCACGCACTGGAGAAGTTGTCAGCTGCATCGATTAAGAACCAAACTGTAAATGAAACTAAAAGCTATTCCAAGTAAAGTATTCGATTTTCTTGAAACGTTAACCTGGCTGATGTTCTCCTGGTGAATTTCGTCTCCTGCTCCACAGCCATATCTTGTTCCACTTTTATTGCTGCTCCACCATCAACAGGTGCCAATTCAACGATTTCCTCATCTCCAGAACCAGGCTTTTCATCAGTTGCGATTTCAACGACTCCCAAATCTTTGACATTGGGCTGTTTCCGTTGTAAGTTTGTATGTCCATTGTTCCCATGGCCATTTGAATGCTCGATTATGTTCTCACCCAAATCACGCATTTCAGGACTGGTGATTTCCTTTTGAACGGCGATTTTTGCACTACCAGCGGCTTTTCGTGGGATATCGGACATCCCCTGAAATTATGCCCATTCAAAATCCAGTCGTTGTAAAATTTGATGGATCGAAACGTCTTAATCTCTCAGCTAAATTATTATTGCTTCGAAAATGCTATACGTTTCACTCAATACACCTTACTATCAACTAATTACAGCTTTTGAATATTTATAATTTTGCTTGGGCCCAGCAAGTGTCACATCGTATCGTTTTTCTGCTTCTTTCAGTCGCCCCTCTCTTTTCTTTTCCATTGAGCACTGCGACTGTTATACCGATGAGGTCCTATCGCGATGTTGAGTAAAGGCGTATATGGCTTAGTGGACCGAAACGTCTTACCTTCTCTTTTCTCATACTGTTCTTTCATGCTGTAATTTATCGTGCCTTCGCCTTTTAGGCTTCCAAGGTCAACCTGGTTGCTACAGTCGATTTAAACGAACATCCCAACCAACATTTGCGCTATTTCCCTTGAGATTATCTTTTATTTTGTTAAAATCTCGCAAACAGCCATTATGACGCAACACCCCTGGTTCCCTGAGTCTAACTTTTGGACACTTACCCCTCTTACGGTTATGCAGTCTCTTTAATATGTCATTAACCGGTTATAAAAGCACTCCTCCCCGTCTTCAAGATCCAGTATGTTGTCCTCCTACCTCGTCCTTTCGCCAGGTTCGATCACCCTGTTCTGGGGAGTTTCGATCCCCCCGAGCTTCGTCACGTTCTCCCTCCTCTCCTATTTTAGTCTATTTTGCATAACTAACATTTGGTTGCGTGGTTAAAAGATGCATATTTATATTTATACCTAAATACATGCATATTTATACCTAGGTGTTGGTCACACAAACACTCATACATACATACACACAAACACTCACACACACACGCACACACACATACACACACACGCACACATATGTAGGGCACGCATACTAGTCTAACCCACAACTTTTAAGGTCGCGATAAGTCAAAAGTCAAAACTCCCTTCGCTGTCACTCCCGCGAGACTGAAGCACTTGGAAGTAGTCCGAACGGTAGCCCAGCAGCAATCACCTAACGATAAAAGTTGTCGATGTCTTCCTCTTTGGAGAGTTGCTTACAAGCAAGCTAACGGCGAAACGGTAATGACTGCCTTGATTACCAACGAATATACTTTTCATAAGAAACCATAAAATTTTGAGTAACAAGCTTTTATAGCAAGAAGAAATGCAGCGCAAAGAAATACAAGCAAAGCAGTTCAATATAATTACAATTAAAATCGCAAATACATTCTCTACTTGCTGCTCATGAATAATTAGTTATGAAATTCTAAAGTTTATGTATAAATGATTGATATGAAGATGAAAACAAGGATAAAATAATAATAAATAATAATGAATAATAATAAGTGATAATAAATGATAATAATAATTAATAATAATAATAATAATAATAATAATAA